TCCTAGAAAGATTTCTAGGAGGGGAAAAAGGAAAGGAGGGGGGAATACAGGCTCTAGATAAAGATCTTTCCTTGCTGGTGACAAATACACAGTTAGGAGATTCTTGGCCCTCCTTGTCCCTGCTATGCAAACTTTTCTCTGTAGCTGAAGCACAAGACATGCCAGCCTAATATTTTGTTTTGTTCTGTGTTTTTCTTTAACATTTTACTTTTCCTGATAAATATTGATTTTGACCAGGCTTATCAAATGTAAGAGTAAGATACATAAATCAAACAGTTGTCAACACAAAAATAAGTGGTTCAAAATAGCATAAAGGTTAATCTATAGTTGGCAGTTGAGTTTGTAAAGTTGATATATAATATGCTCATTTTTATTGTTAGTCCATTAATATTATTCCATTGCTGGGTGTATCAATAATCACACAGAAAAATCTCAAGTATAATATTTTTAGGTTAGCAAAAGATCTAGCTATAACAGATGATGATGAAAAAGTACTTTCCATTCTAAGTGAAAGACTATGACACATTACAACAAGTGAAAGTTTTAAAAAAGAATATTTCTATAATTTCTACCTGAGAGTTTTCAGAGAGGAACGTTGGAAGTTTTCTGTGTTTTTAACTTTGATTTTTGTAAGATTTTGAGAATTAGTACCCCAAAGTAAAGGAAGAAGGCTTACAGTGAGCCATTATTTGAACTGAGAATGACAAGTGATCTGTGCACTTTTGTTCCAATCAGTTCTAGACATCGAGAAAACAATAATGAAGGAGATTGATGAAGAAAAAAATGGCCATTGACTAGAGGTTAGGAGACAATACCTTGAAGCATGCTCCTATTTCCTATGTGGAACTCTAGCTTTGTGTTCATACTGTCTTGTTTGCAGTATTTTTCTAACCCTGGAACACGAATAATTGATGATTATTTTGCCAGTATTATGATACTATTCCTATTCACATTGCATCCCCATACCAGCTGTCTCTTCTCTTCTAAACTATGGAGCCCTTCTCCTGCGTCCCAAAACTCTCTAGTGCCCAAAATATTTCTCAAACCATACATACTCACATCATTGCTCCAATTTGAAGCTCTAAACAGCTGTTGTATACAAGATCCTTGACTTCAGCCTTTTGTTTTCAAGTAACATAAATTAAGATTTTAACTAAATATATGGGCTGAAATCTAAAAGATTTCAAAATAATTATGAGAGATAATGTAGGCTGCATTTTTACATAAATTACTTTCAATAGTACAAAATAGAAACAGATTTGTGAGACAGAAGGAATGGAATTATTCTGAAATGTTAGGAGAACTAGTGATTTCCAGAAACGGGGCAGTTAAATAAAAGGTATTTTTTCCATCTATGTCACAAGTTACAAGACAGGTATATCCATTTGCTTTATTTAGAATTTTTTGTATTCTTAAGACAAAAATTGCTAGGAACTTCGCTCTAAAGTTTTCCTACTGTCATGGACTTACATGCATGCAGAAGTTATTTCTACATGTGCTTTAAGATTATAATTGAGAATAAGTTTTCTAAAACTTGGATGAATTATGCAACATTTATCACCCAGCAGATTATTGCCCTGATGTTGAGATCAGTAACTTAAGTTTAAGTGTTTAAGATATTTGTTTCTCTCTCACAGGTGATATCATCACCCATGTATGCATTCATTACCTCAACTATCTTACATTAATCTTTATTTACTTACTACATGATCTTATGTTTTAATGAAGATACATTTTAATTTATTATTGTAAAGGCCTGATTTATATTGATTATGTTCCCTGAAATATCTCGATTCCCAATTCATACCCATGGAATTGACAACCTGTTTCACCTTCTTCCCCCTCAGACTGGTAGCCCCAGTCACATCCCTAAACACTTAATCCATGTCTCACGTTCCTACTGTTATTCCTACTGTTATGCTTCTTATCTTTCCCATCCTGAGTCACACCATCCTGAGCGGGATACACATTTTTTTCCTGCAGCATAAGAAATGCAGGATGAAAAGGGGAAATGATGTGCAGGTATGGAGGCAATACCTCCAGCCACAGTCCAGCTTGTCACTCTTGCTCAGGAGTTGCAAGAGTACCTGTAGCAACTCTTTCACGTTTACAGGCTTTATGGGATCATTCCTGTGGTTTGCTTTAGTGTTCCCAAAAGAGGTTTCCAATGGATTGATCCAGGAACAGCTGGCATTTCCTGGGCTAATGTCATTGCTCTCCTAGATCTTCTCAAGCCCAAGATGATAGCACTCATACTTACGTCTACACATTTTCTTCATTGGTCTTGACATCCTGCTGATGTCAGATTTGCCCTTTTCAACAGTTGGATTGGGAGACCTACTGGAAAACATCATGGCACATTTTCCTGGATTTCTGTGGTTTTGGTGATCGGGAAGAGATGTTCAGGAATTGGTGAGCCCAATTCTTGTCTCAGTTCATAGGTCTGACCACTACAGGTTCGAGAACTGAGAATACCTTCTCACTCTATTTGATAATGACACAGCGTAAGCAATTTTTCCAGAGGAAAACCTGTAGGATAAGAAATTGAAGAGATCATTAAAGAAACATTAAAACATTTATTTTATGAGCTACAAATTTTTATGTTCCTTCAAGTCACCAATGTGTGCAGAATCATGCCTTGTAGAGCTGAGTCAAGCTATAAATGAAACAATTACTACTCAGCATACAAGTCTGAAGAAAAATTATAATAATGTCTTCCAATCAAGTAATATTAATCTGTAGGAGCTGACCATATTTATGGCTTAGACAATAAGCATCATTTTGTTGTTATACATTAACACCTATTTAGAGCAGTGCAGTGTAATTTAAGTTGATGAGTTCTTGTCATCCTTATGAATTGTTAGTTTAGATGTTTAGGAATTCCAGAAAGAGAAAATGAAAAGTCAGGGAGAAAGAGCATATAACCCCATTTGCTGTGTTTATTTTAGTTATACAAAGCACAGAGACTCCTCTTGCCTTTTGCCTTCTGGCTTTGACTGATTTAAATATGATAATTCTGTGATGATCCTTACCCCTTTGTATTTATAGAAACATATTCAGCCCAAATAAATGAGTTTTTCCTCTATAATTTATGTGATAAATTAGTTTATAGTAATAGATCTGTGAAGAGTAAAGGTAAACTCTTTGCTATGGAAGAAATTAATGCAAAGATTTTTATATTCATTTGAACTACAGTACAACATAGAGAAGAATAAAACTCTTTTTTCCACTTTTAAAGTCTGTATCACTTACTACAATATACTTTCTTAAGTCTTTGCACCCGTTAGTGTTTTATGACTTAGAATTTATTACAGAAAATATTTCCACTCTGTTTTTCACCAACTCTCCACCCCTCAGCATACACATACATCCATTTATGTAATGGGAATGACATTTATCTTGACAATAAAAGTGAATCTCGTTTTAACCTCTCCTGTCCTGACCATCCTGTTTAGAGAATGTGGAAGCTCTGGGAGTGTGTCCAGGTTACTGACTGCTCTGTGTCTGCAGCAGTTCCGTAAACTCTGTCCTTCACTTGTCCCACAGTGTTAACAAGGCAGGAACAATTAAAGTGGAGAGTGTGAGCTCAACCCATCGTTTGCTGTTGGAAGGCAGTTACCAAATGAAATCAGTCAGTAAATTTGTAAACTAATTAAGCTTCATGTTTTCCATCCTTCATGTCTTCTTTTATGTCTGGGCAGTACACTGCGACTAATTGTGTAATTTTCAGCATGTTCAAGGAAAGATTTTTCCTGTTTATTTATTTGCAGTACAGTTGCATTATTCACTAATTATTTGTCATTCATTAGACAGCATGTCTTAAAAATTGTCTGTAAAGCTAGTTGTGCAAATCACAAAAATGATCTCTGCCTTCCTCTTCAAATGGTTTTTAGCTTTTCAAGAAGTAGTGATTTTATTTTTTTAACTAATCCCTCAGGAGAAATAACAGCACACCATGATTTTTCAACGTTATCTATCTCTTCCAGTGCTCAGGGGTGTTTAAAGCCAAAGCACTACTGCTTGTCAGATTACAGATTTGTTCATATGTTATTACTGGAGTGCAAGATGGAGGTACTGAAGTGCAGCAGACAAACAGAAGAAAGGCTTCTGAGTAAAGGCTTTTTTCCCTTGTCATATGGGCTTGCATACTTTGTCTAAAGAAAGATCTTTAAAATATCTGAAAGATACGAGATTTCATGTTGATTCTTTACTTAAAATATAATTTTTCTGAGTTTTGTTTTTAACAATTTCACTAATAATACCACCTATTAACTTAAAACTTCCCTTGTACATGTACATAGATGATCAATTTGGGCAATTCCTGCAGAATAAAAAATTATATGATATATTGATTTGCTCTGTGTTCTCTCTGAAGGATAAATGTCCCTGTAGGAAACAGCAAAGAGTACACTGTTCTCAACATGAAGCATAACTCACTAGTAAATAGAGAAAAATGTCTTAGAATGAGCACTTTTCACTATGGAGACAGATGGTCACATCACTTGGCAAGTATTCAGCTTTTTTCCCTGAGATGTTTAAATAATGTTTATCAAACAATAGACAGGGATAAAAATCAAGATAGCCTTAAATTTATCTAAAACAGAACAGCAGGCTGCTCTAGAGCTGTCCTATAAATAACAATAAACAACTCTTGAATGAAAATCAATAAGGTGGAAAGAGATTTTTTCTACTGGACTGTAGAAATACATATATCTACATATCTTTTCTTGTAATGAAATGTTCTGTCCTCTTTCCTAGCCCTGAAATCAACATACTGTTTACATACCTGGCAGAGTGTACAATGATTAGAGGCAAAACCAGATGGCCATATTTTTCCTTGTCTTGTTTATTTAGGTAATGGATAGACGAATCCTGACTTTACCTGTCAATCCAGCTGTAATTATTCACGTTCCAGTGTGAATTCTTGCATTCAAGTGCTCATGCAGATACAGCCTTGTGCACACACAAATAGAAGTAAACTCTTTCTCTTTCTTCTGCAGGCTTAGAAAGAATTGCGAGAGATTCAGCCTATGAACAAGAAGGAAAAGTTCAGTTTGTCATTGATGCAGTATATTCCATGGCCTATGCCCTGCACAACATGCATAAAGATCTCTGTCCTGGATATATTGGTCTGTGCCCAAGGATGAGCACAACTGATGGTAAAGAACTACTTAGCTATATCCGAGCAGTAAATTTTAATGGTAAGTTACATGTATTCTTTTTTTGCCCCTCTCTTCCTTAAATGTTCCATAAGTGACAAGTGAGGTTTTATTCTTTATATAGGATACTTCAAGGCACAGTGGAAAACAGGATTAGAAGCAGTTCTCATTTAATCAGAACTGTGAGTTTTTCCACCTGCTCCAAAACCTCCAGTGTATTTTTCATCTTAATATTTTTCATCCTAACATTAAGCTGCTCCCAAAAGAGGCAGATGTTAAAAATATGAATCTGTCGATCAAAATATTCCAGTGAAAAGCTGCTATTATGGAAACAAATTGAGTACTTGTACAGTCTTATTGACAGAGTAAAATCATTTGATAGTGGTTGCTTATGTGTTTGCAAGAGAAAGAAGTAAAAAAAATGTGCCCTTTTGAAAATCTCCTTTTTCTGAAATTAATTAATAATTTCCTTACATAAGCAAATATTGAAATTACTTTCAATTTACATATTTAAATTTCAATTAAAACACTCACTAGCAGTTTCAGCTTTTCCATTTCATTGTTTTTGACTCAGTAACTTAATGAGCTTAAACAAAACTACAATATATATTTTTAAACAAGACTACATAATATTCTGTCGAACTCAGATCTGCCTGCTGGGCAAATGTAGTTACTGGTGCTTATGCTGTTAACAGTAGAGGCCTATAACAAACAGGATTAATTGATGAATGTAGGTTTGAAATGTGTAGCACATACTTGATGGTGAAATAAAGTTGCCAAAACCCTAAATTATTTCTTTAGAAGTCATAATGATTGTAGATAATATTTGCCATTATTTTACAAAGAAATTGAGTGATGTATTTTACTCTGTTTTGGTTGGTTTTTTTCCTTACTTGGTGGTAATTCATGTACTACCCATGCCTTCTAAATATGCAGAGAAAAGCACTCTCTATCACAATTTATTCCAATGACCTCAGCTGCAAGCACTTTTGAAAAAAGCACAAGGTCATTTTGAATTTAACTTCTGAGTTAAAGATTTTTTTTTGCTTTAGGTAATACACCAGACCATTTGGTTGATACAAATGTTGGTTATAGTTCACAGTTTTTTTCTTCCTATGCAATTTTAATGAAAAGGGAATCCCTGCCTCCAGGAATATAAAGTTAAAAGTCTTAACGATTTTTTAGTGATTTTAAAGAACATCTGGAACATAGTATCTTGTTGGAAAATGGGAAATACTGTGATGATGAAAAAGGTAGGCAGGCAGCGTATTGTAAGGTTTGCAGTGATAATTACCTACATTTCCAGTAGACTTTTTTCTGCGTCTGTGTTGTTAAAGAACAAAGTGATCTATTTTCGTTTGGTGAGCATGAAAGTTTAGCATAATAAGATAAGCTGTACATTTTTATATGAAAGCTTCCACTCCCTAGATAATTATATTTCATCAATACCTGTCATAATTTCTGTTGCTTACTCTAAGTATGGCAATAAATGGAGATGAAAGCATTTTGGACCCTAACAAAAATGTATTTGATTTTGAAACAATGATTTATTGAAAGAGAGGGGGAAAAAAGAAGGAAGAAAAAGAAACATTTTTATTTGAGGTTAATTTCCTTTCCCATGGGATATGTTAAATATTAATATATGTACTAGGCTAGTCCACATTATGTACCAGTGTACCAGTTTTTTGGGTGCGTTTTATGCCCAACCATTTTATTTTCTTAGTCTTGCATTCAGAGACATAAGAAGAAGATGGTCTTAAACACTTTGCCTTTTCCTAATAAGCCACAAGACCTCTTCTGCAAGGAAGAAATACTAATGCTGTGTGTCAGTTTTGATGTGCATCCTAGCCTCAAACAGTAATAATGTCTTATATTAAAAATTAACTGATAAATGAAAGGAAAATCCTGTTTTTCTTAGCCATTCAAGATACAATTTTTCTATCCTGGCAATCACAGGATCACAGCAGATCTGAAGCTGGCAAGGACCTCCACCTACTCCAATCCTCTGCCTAAATCAGGATCAGCATAATCAGGTTATTTATGACCATGCCCAACCAGGTTTCAATCTGCATTGGTGGGAGATCGTCCAGAATTGTCTCTGAGTAGTCAATACAATATATAATTATGTTTGCAGTAAAAAAAAACAAACCAAAACAAACAAACAAAACAAAACAAAAAAACCAAAAAACCAAAAAAACCCCAAACCACAAAAAAACTGGCATTTTTGAGACAGGCAGTTTTCCCTTTTCTTCAGTATTAATTTTCCTGCATGATCCTACCCTTATGCATATTAAACCAACTTGTCACCTCACTTAATTCAGTATATCCCTCTTCACTCATAGTAGTGAGGAGGTTCAAATCCAGTTAATATGCTTATACATTCAACTTAGTGGTTTTCACCTCACAAAGGGTGATCTCTGTCTTATGGAGGGTGTTTGCAAGGGTAGAGAAAACACACATATTTCTGTTTATTGGAGTAACTGATTTGCTTTCAATAGCAAGAAATCACTTTGAAGAGTATTTATTTTTGTTTACTTAGTTTTTTTAATTACAAATTATGAAGATTTGCTTCCCTGAAGGATTAATCTGTATAATATTCCATGACACCTTCATGGCTGAAGGGTGATCATAACCACCAGAGCACAATGAACTGATGTGATTGATAAGACATTTGTTTCTGCTTAGATATTCTTTCACTTGTATGCTAAATGCAGAAAATCTCATAGCTCATCATGGTTTTAAATGGAATAAGACTTGATTGGTAATAGAAATAAAGAAATTTATTCGTACACAAGAGTTACTGCTGACTGTGGATTCCTGTTTTACTGTTGCCTGTGTTTTTCATAGGAGACCTAGGAAAGAATGGTCTCTAGACTCAATTAGTTTTCATTTAAAATGGACATTTTAAAATCAATTTAATTTAATAGGAAAATAAACTTCTAACACGTAACTAGTACTGTTTATATCTGTGTACATCTAAAGTGTTTTTAAATGAAAACAGAAAAGCAGTGTTCTGAGATATGGCACACTTAGTACCTTGGGTTCTTGATGGTTTTAGTAGACCATAACCAGCCCATCTGTTTCTTTGATCAACAAATATTTAGACCTTTTGAAAGTTTCATGGTTCTATTTATCTTCCTTTTTCCCAGGAAAAAAGTGAATATTATCATTTCAGATGTCCTTATTTTAATAAGTTGCCACATTTTGAAAGATTTTTCCTATCACTCTTTGTATGAGATATTTATGCAAAACTGATGTTTTGTAAAGAGAAGAGTTTTTCTGTTAATTAGGTTTATAAATGGTGATATGCACAATAGTGTAATTCTGTAATTTAGTGATTCAGTATGTTCTCCCATCACATTACTCTAGTGTTCTCATTCTACTTAACTTCATTATTCTATCTACAAAACAAGCAGGTGTTTTCTAAGAGTTTCTACCCTGGCATGTGCTGAGTGCTTCATGAGGAGTGTTCTGTTGAATTCAACATAAGTGCTCATCAGTTAACAGGAACAGGACTTGAGCATGCATTTGCAGTGGATGGAAGTGTTTCAAAGGTGGTTTTGTTTTGATTTTAAGAAAAAGTTTTATATTTGTACTTCTTTCCAGGCAAAGAATTGCATGGATACAGTGCTATAATAAAACCCTCTTTCTTCCTGCCACCTCTCTTTTGTGGGTGTGTGTGTGTCTCTCCTCCCAAACTGTCTTTATAGGCAGTGTAGGGTAGCTGTTTTTTGCCTACCTTTAGTTATACATTTGTATTTATATTTTCATTTACACATTTTTGAACTTTTAGGGATAAATGTAACTGCAACAAAATGGATTTACAGATATTGCAATATGCGTTTTACACTTACAAAGCTAAGGGCAGTACTTGACCTCTACTCATATACTTGAAAGGAAACATCTTATTTGCTTAGGTGGGCTATTTATCCTGGGGGTTAATAGGGATACTTGGTAATTTTACTTTTTTTATGTAAGCAGGGATAATTGAGAATGGAGCAGAGAATAGGTGGAAGCGCTGCCTCCCCTCTGCCAACAATACTTAGGTAAATGTTTTCTTCTTCTTCAGGAGGTCACTTCAACATCACTTCCCTCTCCTGGTGAAGAAAAAACTTGAAATATATTCTAAGTGTGCAACCTTTTTTTTTGTCTTCTCTGGACAAAGGACAGCAACTATATTGCTTTCTCAGATTTTGTGACAAATCTACAATAACACTAGAACAGGCTGCTTGAAAAAAGTTGTGGAATCTCCATCTTGGAGAGACTCAAAACCTGGCTGGACACAGGCAGCCTCCTCTAGCTGAGCCTGCTCTAAGAAGAGGGGCTGAACTATGTTTAGAGTTCCTTGGCCACCTCAGTCTTGCCGTGCTTCTATAATATTACCTGGACTTGAAAGAAAGTAAAATATTATCACCTAACCCTGCTTTACAGTGTTTTACTTTATTCTTCTGGAACTAATTTCATAGTCTGAGTGCACGAGAAAGACTTGCTGTTATTTGTTTTTTAGATATGTTAATTTAATGCCTTTGAGAAAAGATTAATTTTAGCTGAACACATAGAGACACACTGCAGCATTAACCCCATTTAGAAAGGGAACATCAAAAAAATTCATCCTGAAGGGGCAGAATAATACCAGAGAATGAGAATAAAAGAACAGAAGCTAGCAGGCTAACTCAAAATAAGGTGTTGACTAAAATAAAAATTAATGATCACTCTACATTGCAATATTTTTTTCTGAGAAAATAGCATCTATACAGAACATTTAAAGAAACCCCAGAAGAATGAGATTTTTCATAAAAAATTTTAAACCCTCTAGCGAATCATTATTGTGGAATCAGCTGTTTACAAAAATTAATCTTCTGCTATCTTTTGAAGTTGCTAAGACATCAATCTATGCAAAAAGTCTCTTGACTTAATATTCAGCTCAGACTGTTTTAAATGTTTTCTTCAAGAAAGCTGACACCTCTCTATTCTTTCACTGAGTACAAAATTTGCATTCTCAAATCATTATTTATCATTAAAACAGAAGCTTTAAAATGGTG